TTCCTGGCCCTGGGCGACAAGAGGCTGAGCCCCTTTAACATCACTCACCGTTTCACCCACCTCTTCTGGCTCGGAGATCTCAACTACCGCGTGGAGCTGCCCGTCTCGGTAAGGATCTGCTTGGCTGGGCTGCGGTTCCATGGGGCCAGGCTCCCTCGAGTGAGCTGAGGGCAGAGGGGGTCATTGTGAGTCGCGTGGGCTGAGCCAGGCCACAGCTGCTCCTCCCCACCCCAGGGACTCAACAGTCCACTGGTTATCAACTTCACCTTGCCAGTTTCTTCTGCTCACTTCTAGTTCCCACATAACTGTCATGGCCGTCCCCTCTCCTCACCATTGCTGTGCATTCTGGGTATCCAGCTAGCCAGCAACAGCCTCTCAGCTTGCTGGTCCCAAGCTCCAAGAAAGGCGTCTGGCGGGCCAGTTCATCTTTTCTCACCAAATCACGGGTCACTCTTCAGCCTAAGGAAGCCCTTCCTTGAGTGGGATGCCCACCATTGTCCAGTCAGCCGTGGGCAGAGAAGCTGAGTGGCACAGAACACAGCCCTGCTCCCTCAGAAGGGGGAGTGGACAGGCACGCACCACAGGATGTGGCTGGAACCAGAGGCTGGTTCTTTGGTGCTCTTGAAAGATGGTGTGCGGGCCAAAGTTGTCAACCAGCAGGGTGATGCCTGTCTGCCCAAAGACTGCTCTTAACAGCCTGACCACGAGATCTTTTGCCCTCATCTGACAGGAATTTTTTTTGTTGTTAAATTATGGTAAAATATGTAAGGGACACTCAGGAGTATGACGGTTATGCACTAGACTGACTGAAAGGTGGGTGGTCTGAACCTACCCAGAGGTGCCTCAGAGGTCAGCCTGGTGGCCTGTTTCTGAAAGGCCCCAGCCTTGGAAACCCTGTGGGGCAGTTCTGTTCTGCACACACAGGGGGCTCTGTGAGTCGGAATCAATGTGACTGAAACTAACGACAACAATAAAATACAGATAACACAGCATTTGCCACTTTAACTATTCTTAAGTGAACCGTTCCAATGACGTCACCATGTTTACGTGGCCACCCCAGGATCCAATCCCACATTTTCGTCTCTGACAGGGATTTTCAGTGCTTTCCTACTGCGATCCTGTGAGGGTGGTATGGAGGGCAGTAGAAACAGATTCAATTTTCAAAAAATTTTTATTGTGATTTGGATGAATGTTCACAGACCAAATTCTTTTTTCCATACAGCAGTTCACACACACTCTGTCTCATGACGTTGACTACAGTTTGCCACAATGCAACAGCTCTCTTCCAGAACTGCGTTTTACAGATGAGAAAACCGAGCTACACTGTTTGAACCCATACCTCTGTCCCCACTCCCAGGGTTTTCCCGCGTCCCCTTCCCTTGGCCGCCTGGAGGAAGCCAGAACGAGCCCGTGTAAACGGCCTCTTGTTCACAGCCCTCTTCACAAAGTGTCCTCGGCACCTTCCTCCCCTCTGTCACAGCTTAGTGGCTACATGGGAGAGGTGCTGGACAGGAACACCACAGGCCTGACCCTTCATAGTCAGAAGATTGGCCAAGAGCTGTCCCCAGAACAGGGGCTCAAGGTGGCATAAGTGAGTGGGACGGGTGACTGCTGGATTCTAAGGCCGACATGTTCCACTGATGTCTCATTGACTCATAGGTAGAGAACCAGTGGGGTCAGGGGCCCAGATGGCCCGTGAATTAGGACTGGGTTTCCCACTCTCTCTTGGGCTTACAGCAGGCTGTCTCCATTCCCTCAGAGATGGGAGAGACAGAGAGACATACCCACCTGTCTCATGAAGTGTTAATAAAAGCAATACTAAAAGTCAACAAGCATTTTGGAACCATGGAGGCTGGCTGAACCCCTGAAATTAGTGCCCTGAAATAATCTCTAGGCCTTAAACCAAAAATATCCCCTGAAGTATTAAAACCAAGCAGTAGTCTAGCTTCACTAGTGAAAAAAAAATAAGTCTGCCCTGAGCATTATGCTGTTTTCAGACCTACAACTGGAAAGATTGGACAGGAACCTTAAGGGGCAGTGACTTAATGTTCATGGAGGAGGAACAACTCGAAGAAGGAGGTTAAGAGTAGTTGGACCCCTGGAAGAACAGGACTGATGCCGCTGAATGTTCTACATTCAAATGCAGAAGCAGTCGGCTTGGTGTGTGTTTTGCTGTCAACAATAACAAAATAAGTAACACTGTTAATGAAGTCAGGATGCAAACAGGAGAAGTTCACACGCAGATTTGGAGTAACCTGGAACGTGTGTTATCGGAGTGATGGTTCACTTGCAGCTTGTGGGGTTTTCCTCATCAACGGCTGGGTGCTAAGAAGCAGTGCCAACCCAGCACGCCTGGGGCTCCAGGGTCAGGGACTCCAGGGGCCTGTGCAGCCGGCGGCAGGTGGTGGTGCCTCCTTGTCCACGGGTGACAGAGGGGTCCCACCAGTGGCCTGGGTACCTCTCGTTGCAGGAGGCAGACGCTATCATCCAGAAGATCAAGCAGCAGCAGTATGCGGACCTCCTGGCGCACGACCAGCTGCTGACGGAGCGGAGGGAGCAGAAGGTTTTCCTGCACTTTGGTGAGCAGGCCTCTTCCTGTGGGCCCTTTCCGCCACCATCTTGGCTCCCCCTCCCCCACACACCCCCAGGGGAAGGATGCTGCCTGGAGAAGCGGCACTTGGTTAGCTGTGGTACTTGGGGAGCTGTCTTAGTCCCCCCGTGCTGCTGTGACTGAAATACTACAAGGGGGTGGCTTTGGAGAACAGAAAGTTATTTTCTCACAGTTAACAGGCTAGATGTCAGAACTCAGGGCACCGGCTGTGGAGAAGGCTCTTCCTGTCTGTTGGGGGGGGGGGGTCTTCATCTCAGCATCTCTGGCATTCTCGGCCTTCTCAGCGTTCTTGGTATCCATCTTTCCCCCATTTGTACTGGCTTCTCCCCGTACCTTATCTGCTCGTTTTACATCTCACAAATCCTTAAATTTAAGACATACTGTAAGCATGGTGCCTAGGGCACTTGACTGCTAACCAGAAGGCTGGTGGTTCAAGCCCACTCCTTGGAAGGAAGGTTGAGCAATCTACTTCTGTAGTGATACTGCCTCGGAAACCCATGGAGGGGTCTCTATGAGTTGGGTCTGACTAGACAGCACATAACAACAACAACAACTACGCTGATAAGGCTTTGTTAACATAATAAAGAAAACCCTATTCCCAAGTGGGATTCTGTCCATGTGTATATCAAACCAAACCCACTGCTGTGGAGTTGATTCCAACTCACAGCGCCCCTAGATGATGGAGTGGAACAGGGTCTCCAAGGCTGTAATCTTTATGGAAGCAAAGCCCAATGAAACCCACTGCCATGGAGTCTATTCCAAATCACAGCGCCTCTAGAGGACAGAGTGGAACTGCACCACAGGGTCTCCCAGGCTGTTAGTCATCACAGAAGCAAAGCCCAAACCACACCCACTGCCGTGGAGTCCATTCTGAGTCATAGCGTCCCTAGAGGACAGAGTGGAACTGCCCCCAGAGGGTTTCCAAGGCTGTTATCTTTACAAAAGCGGACTGCTACATCTTCCTCCCTTGGAGTGGCTGGTGGGTTTGAACCATCGACCTTTGGTTAGCAGCCAAATTTCTTAACTGCTGTGCCACCAGAGTGCCTTATCCACGGATATAGGGGTTAGGATTCCAACACATTTTGGGGGACACACTTCAACTCAATCAAAACTGAAATCAAAGTGTCTCTGTTTCAGAGGAGGAGGAAATCACATTCGCACCGACCTACCGTTTTGAAAGACTGACTCGAGACAAATACGCCTACACTAAGCAGAAAGCCACTGGGGTGAGTCCTGTTCGCAGACGTTGCCCCTCCCCTTTCCACCCCATTCCTCTTTGTTCCCATGAAGGTACATAGAAAGAGCAGGGCCTCCTCACCCATTTGGCAAATCGTAATTAGAAACTGCATGTAGATTTGTGCCACAGAGTAAAATCCGTCACAGGGTACAGGTAGAGGGGTTTGTCTGACCAAAGACAAGGTGAAGGTGGCAGGGAGTCTGCGAAGGTGAGGAGGATGGGTGAGGGCACACCCGCCAGGAAAACCGATCTCATTTCTAAGACGGGGTCCAGGACGTGAGCATGTGGGGGCTGCGTAGAGGCGGTGGGGACTTGAAGCGAGGGAGAGGCTTTAAGGTGACAATGAGGAAATTCCAAGGAGCCTGGTGGCCCAGTGGCTAATCACTCGGCTGCTGACCGAAAGGTTGGTGGTTCGAACCCACCTCTGCAGGAGAAAAGACCTGGCAGTCTGTTCCTGTTAAGATGATGGCCTTGCAAACCCAGTGGGACAGCTCTACTCTGTCCTAGAGGGTCGCTGTGCATTGGAGGTGACTCAGTGGCTGTGGGTATGATTTAGGCTTTGCTTCTGTAGAGACTGACAGCCTTGGACTATGGGGCAGTTCCACTCTGTCCTCTAGGGGCGCTGTGAGTCGGGATTGACCCATGGCAGTGGGTGTGGTTTGGGCTTTGCTTCCGTAAAGATGACAGTTATGGGGCAGTTCTACTCCGTCTCAGAGGGTCGCTGTAGTCGGAATCCGCTCGCTGGCACAGAACAGCGACAACATGGGAAACTCTAAAGAACCAACTAGAGACGAACTCAAGGGCTGCAGAGGTCCCGGCTAAGCTTTTCTTTGATGTTAAAGAAGCAGCGGCAGGTACTTTGCAACGCCCTGACTCTGACTTGCAGATGAAGTACAACCTGCCCTCGTGGTGTGACCGTGTCCTCTGGAAATCATACCCCCTGGTGCACGTGGTATGTCAGTCCTACGGTGAGTAGACGCCAGGTGACAGCAGGGGGTGCAGGCTGTTGTGTCCCCAGGACCACATCAAGCCACAAGGGATGAGCACCTGAAGGGCTCATGCCTCGGGGCTGCTGTCTGCCCGTCTGTGACGTGGGAGCACTCACTGCCCCCCTCACGGACCCCTGAGAGCCGATGCCCCAGGCCCCCCACTCCTTTGGAGTGGCAGCTCAGTGAACAACCCCTGGCTTGGGGGATATCTGACTTGGGGAAACGCTATTCAAGAGAAATTCTGTTTCGTTTCTTTTGAAAAGAACATACTAGGTTTGAAACATGACAGGGCTATTTCTGTGAGTCAAACAAGGTCCGATACTGGCAAGTCCAAGTGGTCTAGCCTGATGAGATGCATGTGTCTGAGGCGGCAGAGTGAGTTAAGGTAATAAAAAAGGTATCATGTGTACCTTAGGTGTCTAGTGCTGCTCTAACAGAAATACCAAGGAATAACACCGAGAATTATTCTCTCGCAGGTAGGAGGCTGGCAGTGAGCTCAGGGCGCCAGCTCTAGGGGAGGGCTTCCTGTCTCTTGGCTTTGGAGGAGTAAGGTCGTTGTCTCCTTAGCTTCTGTTCCTCCGTTCCCTGGCATCTGCCGTCCATCATCTCTGCTACTCCTGAGTCCTAATCTGCTCCTTCTGTGTCTCAAAGGTGGTGGCTTCAGACACACCCTGCACTGACTCGGCCTCTTGACATAACAAAGAAAACCCTTCCCAAGTGGGATGGTAAACACAAGCGCAGAGGTTAAGATTTACAGTGTGTGTTTTTGGGAGACACAATTCAACCCATGACAATAGGCAGCATTAAAATAAATCATTATGAAATACAGCCTCAGAACAGCTGAGGAGTCGTGTTAACCTCGGAAGGTGAAGATGTGGGGAAGATGTTCTTCGTTGCTTGAGCATGCGCCCCTAAAAGCTGCTGCTTTGTCCCCATTACCACAAAGGCAGACCTCCGAGGTTCAGAGCGGAATTCTTGGAACACCTCACTGACTGGAATCATGTCCATTTCTAGAACACCGTGAAGCCCTAGACAGTGGCCTCGGAGCCAGGATGGAGGTTGCCTCTGGGCTCCAGTGCGCATCTCACCTGACCGGATCGCAGGCCAGGGCCCTGATGGACAGCAGCCGCCCAGGCCTGGCCCACCCTCTGAGCCTGAGGCCCCTCCCAGGACTTAAGAGCACAACTGTGCAGTGTTGTTGCCATTGTTTTTCAATAAATATCTAGACTATTTTGGGAACTGTTTTACAAAGCAAATTGCCAGCCCTTTAACTTGTCCCCGAGTCTTACTGTCCTAGGGCTGGTGTGACAGAAATACCACAAGTGCGTGGCTTTGAGGAACAGAACTGTGTTTCCTCACAGCTCGGGAGGCTACTGTTGTCAGGTGCCATCGAGGCGGCTCTGACTCATAGCGACCCCATACCTAGCGGAACAAAACGGTGCCCTGTCCTGTGCCTCCCTCACAGTCCTAGCTCTGCTTGAGCCCGTCACTGCAGCCACTGAGTCACTCCATCTCACCGAGGGAGTCTGGAAGTCGCAATTCAGAGTGTGGCTCTAGGGGTGCCTGTTCCTTGTCACTTCCTGTTTCTGGTCGCTGCAGGAGTCCAGCCCATCGTCCACCTCCCTCTTCTCACTCTTATGACTCAGAAATGATTAGAGTTAGGACCCATCCTACTCAGGTGTGACCCAATTACGTGAAGAAACCCCTCTTTCCCATCGTTCCCAGGTATAGGGGACGGGATGTCAACACGTGTTCTGGGAGGCCACAGTTCACTCCATAACACCCTGGAACAGCCTCTTCCACTGTCACCAAAGCCTGTGTTGTCCCCTCAGCCCAACGACTCCCCTACCTCTTCCTCTCCTCCTTCACACTGCTCTGCACCCTCCCAGAGTCCCTCCTGCCTCCAGACCCTGTAGGGTGTTGCCCTCTCTGCCTTCTTCCCTCCTGTCTCAGGGAAAGATGCCCTTCTTTTTGGCTAACTCTTTCACCTGGACGGTGACTCCCCTCCTCCCCCTCTTTCCCAGTCCCAGCGTCCCTTCTCACGTTTGTGTCTTCTCTGTTCTGTCTCACTGTTGTTCCACTTGGCCTTCCTGAGGCCTAACGTTAGAGCATTTTTTCTTGTGTTTCTTTTCTACCCTTCCTGTTCATGGCCTTCGGTTGCCAGAAGGGCAGGGTGTCTCTCTGTCTTGCTGGTTTGTAAAAGCCTTCCCGAACAGAGTGAGCACCTCCATCCCCCGAGCTATCTTTCCTTTGCCCACCATTTAAGGCTGCCGTGTCCTGGCATTTCCTCCTCTGCCTCCATCTCTTCTCATCCTTCCCATCTTCCTGGAGGAAGCCCTCACGTTCTCCTGGCTTCAGCTTCTACCCGATCTGATGACTTCAGCTCTGTATCTCCAGCCCAGAATGCTCGCTTCCTGTCAGACATCTCCTCCTGGTTTTCTCACAGAATTCGGGATTTCTAGAGCGGTGCTCCTTGTCTTATCCCACAAACATGCTCTGATGCCTTCCATTCTCCTCCAAGCTCCACGCTCCTTGATCGAGTTGTCACCAAGCATCTACACATCACTTCCATGCTCTCCTGACCCTGAGAGCCCTTGTAGGGTGGGGCAAGGTGCCCTGTCTCTCTCACTGATTGGCTCAGTGACCTTAATTCTCCTGCCCACTCTGGATTTGGGCTCCTTATCTATCAATGAAATGATTCGACTAGAAAGTTCTCCGGGGTTCACTTGCCACGATCTGCTCCTTAGGAACAGCTGACCCAGGCACATTCCACCTGTGAGGAGACAAGAGCCACACGTCATTCACAGAGCCTTTTAAGCAGGTTATACAAAGTTGATGAGATAGCCGTGCAAAACCTATCACCACTAGAGGTTTCCAGAAAGGTCAGCTTCTTTCTTCCGTGGGGTTGCCTTCCTCAGCTCAGAGTTGCCTCCCCCCCACTCCCCACAGGCAGTACCAGTGACATCATGACCAGTGACCACAGCCCCGTCTTTGCCACGTTTGAGGCAGGGGTCACCTCCCAGTTTGTCTCCAAGAATGGTGAGTAATTGACCGTATACGTTTCCCCTTTCTCCACAAAGACAGGAGGCCTCAGGCACTCAACTTTGGGCTATAGGTCAAGTCTCGTGCTTCCAGCCAAGTCTACAGTTAGTCCATTGGGTCTCTGCATGTCCAAGCCACATCATGGGTTCGGGTCAGAGAACTTAATTGCCCTGTGTAGCAAATATGTCAGCATTTTGACCCTCGGTTTTAGTATGGTCTTAAAGATTGACCTTCCCCATGTTTCCCTGGGACCGTGCTCCCCCAGTGACCATTTTGGGTGGAAAGTAGATGAAATAAATAATGCATTTGTTTTCATATGCTTTAAATTTATCTCTTCCGTGTGAGATAAATTTAGTTTTCATTTAGTGTTATGATATATGTTCTTATTTAAATACATTTATTTAAGTTTAAAAAGTGAGTCTATTTAAAGAAAATGTTAAGTCAATATTAGTACAGTTGCATGGGAGTTGGAGATGGTAAAAACCCTGAAGATGACTGAGTTTTAGGAAACACTTTGGTAAATAATACTTAAATATGTAGGTAATTTCTCAAATAATCCAGCCCAGCCCTGGCTGCCAGGGTTCACTTGTCCCAGCCGGGGTGCAGAACATTCTCTGTGGCGTGTCCAGCCCTGGGCCTGGCTAGGTGCAGTCTTTCCCCACACACACACACCTTTGATCAGAGGAAGGCTGAGTGTAGGGCACCAAACACAGGTTGGAAAGATGGTCTCGCTCTGTGCCTTTTGTACCAGGTGAGACATAGGTGAGGTGGTATACTGTCCTCCTAGGACACTCTAACTATTGGGTCTAATGTCCAAGAGTCTGGTACCATGGGTCACCTCTCCTGCCAGGCCTGGACCTACCACACTGTCTCCCTCTTAGACCCGGCCACGGTGCCTTTCCAGAACCTTCCTGGCCTTTAGGTTCTACCGTGGCCCCTTTCTCTGAGTTGCTGCAGCGTCTTACGTCTGTTACTGGGTAGAGTGTCCTCAGGATCAAGCGTGGCATCCTCCATTGGAGCTGGAGCGCACACATGGTAGATGCTCAAAAACCCCGATTTGTGGAGCTGGACGTCGATCGAACGCCTGCCTAAGCAGAACTTTGGTGCTGTGGGTTCAAAACAGAAAAAAGAAAGCAGGCAGGATGGGAAGGAGGCTGGAAATGTTTGTCCCAGAATTTATGTGGAAGGGACAATTCAAAGACGCTTACGCAGAAAGAGCCAAACAACCTAAATGTCCATCAGCAAGGGAATGGATCAACAAACTATGGTCCACACTGTGGAGTATGGGCAATGATGGCTCTGCAAACATCTCACAGCATGGATGAAGCTAGAGGCCATTATGCTGAATTAGTCAATCACAAAAGGACAAATATCGTATGAGACCAATATTATAAAAAGTCAAGAAAAGGGTTTCACACAAAAAGAAATATTCTTTGATGGTTACTAGGGTCAGGAGGGGAGAGGAAGGTAAACCACCAACCATTAAAAAAAAAGCTTACCTAAGGACACCGCAAAATCCTTCCGTAACCTACCGCAGGTGATGAGCAAGTAAAAGTCATTAGTAGGAATGACTGTAGGAGCCCTGTGTCGGGATGGGGTTGCTGTGCATGAGGAAGAAGAGGGATGGCCCCTCACTACCTCAGCTCAGACCAGAATAGATTTGCAGGTGGGGCAACTGAGCCGTTACCAGGAGACTAAGATCATGAAGCAGCTCGGTGGTAAAGCTCAGACTAAACCCTGGGTCTCTGCACCCTCAAGGCCCCCTGCCTTGGCTCTGCTCTCTGCCGCGCCAGCTCACGTGTCATCAGAGAGACCATAACCCTTGTCTAGGGAGTCAGTGCGGTTGGTAGGGCTTGTTGTAGCTTCAGCTGGGAAAAACTCCTCCCACCTGGACCCTGGCCTTCCCAGGGCTCTTGTGTGGAGGCTGGTTTGAAGGGCGCCATCCTCAGGCACGTTGTGGAATTGCATGCCTGTTCTCCCCTGTTCTAGGCCCCGGGACTGTGGACAGCCAAGGGCAGATCGAGTTTCTCAGCTGCTATGCCACACTGAAGACCAAGTCCCAGACCAAATTCTACCTTGAGTTCCACTCCAGCTGCTTGGAGAGTAAGTGGCTGTTGAACCAGCTCAGAGTTGGGGTGGGCAGTGACTGTTTCTCATACACACTTTATCACAAGTGGTCCTTTCCCTCATTTCTCTTCTCTGTGAGGGGCTCCAGAGTGGACCTCAATGGAGGTCAGAGATGAAGGGTATAAGGGGACACCCAGTTCCTGTGAGGGGTGGTCCCACTCACAGTTGCCTGTGATGCTACTGCCCCAGCCCTGGGAACAGAGACACTCATGGATCCATCTGGTCATGACTCAATGACCCCTCAGTACCATTAGGCAACAGAGCTAACTGGAACCTCTCTCTGGCCCCATGGGCAAAGTTTAACCCACTTGAGAGTTCCCCCAAGCCAGGGCTCTGACTCAACCAGAGAGGCCTGGGGAAAGTTCCAGAACTTAGACAGGCCTGCACTGGGGCCCGAACAGCTGCTGGTGATCACTTATTCTCCCCGGGCTCACCAAGCTCTTTCCCGCCACCACGGTGTCTCCAGGTGGTTGGAGCCTCGGAACACAAGTTGCAGATGGGCAGCAGCCTGTCAGCCAGCAGCAGTCGACACACGCTGTGTTTGGGAAACACCCTCTCTGCGTGACATTTCAGACATATTGTCGAAAGCTGTTTCATGGCAAGAGAAGCTCTGTGGTTTCTAGTTCTCCTTGCTGAGATGGTCTGGAGAGTAGGGGAACTCAACTGCACAAAAAGGAAGCATCTTAGGAGGGGATGATTGAGAAGCTTCCAGAAACCAGGAAGCCAGCGGGTGCTGCCAGCTGTGCGCCACCCAGCCCCACCTTCCCTCTCAGGCAGAGAGCCTGAGGCCTCAGCAGCCCACTCCCCAGAGTCCCCCAGCCCTGGTCCCTGGCTCAGGGTCAGAGCCCTTCCAGAGACCACGGGTTTTGTGCGGGTGTTTCTAATAAACTCTCAAGACATTTGCATACATTTCTATGGAAACAGCATATTAGGAAGCTTAAATTAGAATTTCAAAAGGGTGCCGTGTTGAGTGGGATGAGTTGTCATGTTCACTAATCCTCTTGCCTGGGGGGGGGGGTGATGATTTTCTTTGTTGTCTGGTTTGTAGCAAAGAGGAGCAGGAAAGGAGGGGGATCTCTCTGATTTTCCTAAAAATAGAGTCAGGTGACTGTCCCCTCCACAGGGCAGAACCCGCACAAGCCTGATCGCTACCTGATGCCGAGGCCTCTAAGATGCAGAGGCAGAGCGGGAGGGGCTCCATCAGCCCAGGGGTCCTTTCTCTGGTTCTCGCTCAGTTTTCTGAAAACCGGCCTTCTTGTCCCCTGATAGGCTTTGTCAAGAGTCAGGAGGGAGAAAACGAAGAAGGAAGCGAAGGGGAGCTGGTGGTGAAGTTTGGCGAGACCCTTCCGAAGGTAACTCACCAACGAGACAACTCCGGGGGAGGGGTTGTCCTCCCTAGGCCAGCAGCGCTGCCAGGGGCAGAGTGGTAGCCAGCCCCAACCAGAGGGAGTGGGAACCCCACAGACTGAAGGCACAAGGAAGGGGTCCTGGGCAGTGCAAGTGGTTAATGTGCTCAGCTGCAAACCACAAGGTTGGAGGTTCAAGTCCACCCGAGGCACGTCGGAAGACAGGCTGGCGATGTGCTTCAGAAAAGTCAGCCGCTAAGGCCCTGTGACACGTAGTCTACCCTGACACGCGGGGTCGCCAGGAGTCAGCATCAACTCAACACCTGGCCTCAGCAATGTGTCCTGAAGCCTGACTGAACTTTCCGGAATGCCTGAGACCCTGTGACATGTAGCTCTACCCTGGCACACGGGGTCGCCAGGAGTCAGAATCAACTCGACACCTGGCTTCAGCAACGTGTCCTGAAGCCTGACTGAACTTTCCAGGATGCCTGAGCCTGACGTCCCGCCTTTTGTCTGGTCAAGCTCCTGGGGTTGAGGGACAAACGCAAGCTCCTTGGCCTGGCCCCTCAGACCCTACCTTGCTCTCCAGCCCTGTCTGTTCCTGACCCTCCTCCCCACCTGTGTCACCTGACGACCTCCTTTGTTCACCGGGGAGTACCCTGCCCGGGCACCCAGAGTCTCCCTCCCGGCCACCTCCACAGTGGGTTGGTCCCTCACAGGCAGGTTGTTCAGACAGCTGCCACTCAGTCCCCAATGGTTCCTGGCAGGGTGGGCTCTCTCCTGGCCCCAGCCCTGGTCTAACTTGGAGCCGGCCCTCACCACGCGTCAGTGACCTGGGTGCTTGGGCTGTGGAACCCCAGAATGCCCTGGAGCACCCACTGCCGTTTCCAGTAGTTTGTTCTGGAACTTTCTGAATGGGGTATAGAGAGTCCATCCTGTTGGTCAGCATGGGGCCCAGGGAGAGAGCATGAGGGGCCTCTGAGTATCTGGAAGGGAAGGAAGGGAACAGCCCAGAGCAGCGTGAGAACTTCTTATCAGTCCCCCTTGGAGTCCTCTCGGAGAACAGCCGGGTCTGCCTTATCTAGTGCTGCTGTGACCTCTGTTATACTGCACCTGTGGCTTCAACAAACAGGAATTGACTCTCTCACAGTGTAGGGGGCTGGACGCAGGTCCTGTCTCTCTGAGCGTCTGTGCCTGGGTGGTCTCTGTCTGGGTTTCCGTCTCTCTCCCCTTCTCTGCTCTGCTTGCTGGTTTAATCTCCTGTGTCTCCAAGGCCCTAACCCTGCCTCATCCACATAACAGAGACCACCCATTCTCCAGTGGGATTATAACCACAGGCATAGAGGTTAGGGTTTACAACACAGAGTTTTGGGAGACACGATTCAGTCCATAAAAAGCCCTAAATTGTGAAAATATCTTAAATTGTCACCAGCACGTGGACACTGGTGTGTGGAAAAATGCCTCAGCGTGGCAGCCAGCCAGCTCCCCTTGCACCTGCACAGACACAGTGGCACTGGCCCGGCTCAGCCGCCAGTGCTCTAAGTCACAGCAGGGAGTCGGGGTGGCCCAGAAGGGGCAAGTCTGTCTGTCATCTCTGAGCCCCACCTCCTGAGCCCTGCAGGACACTCCACACCAAGCTGCAGGGCTCTGCCGTGGAGCAGGGAGGGCTCCTTCACAGGTGATAGCAGTCCCAGGGGATGACCGAGGGAGAGGACTGCACCTGTGGCATGGGGAGACTGGGGTACAGGGTGCTGAGCCACCCTTCTGCAGGGGTCACCCAAGACCTGGCTCCTAATCCCACTATCTGCATATCAGCCAACCCCGTTCCCTACTGCCCTGGTGAACTATGGGATATACAAAGGAGGGGGAGGGAGGGAGGGAGGAAGGGGTGGCTATGAGGTCAGGCTGTCCCCCTGGGGCCTGGTCCCCAGAGCCTACTTAGGAGTCTTGGGGTACAGTGTGGTGGCAGGGCTGGAAGGAAGTAGCCCCTACTTGCTGGGTAAGAATTCCTGTGGGTTCCTTTCTACTAGCTGGGGGTCAAAACCTGAGGTTCAAATCAGGTGGATAAGGACACCTGCAGTCCTGTTGCTTCAAGCATTCCCCACACCTGGGCTGCTGACCTCATCTATGTGGCCACCCACCTGTCTCACACCTGTCAACTCTAACCTTGGCCTTCTCCCTGCAGCTGATACCCATCATCTCTGACCCCGAGTACCTGCTGGACCAGCACATCCTAATCAGCATTAAGTCCTCCGACAGCGACGAGTCCTATGGTAAGGGTCTGGGACAGGTGTCCCCACTTGCACAACCTGCCTGTTTGGCAGGTGGCCTCTGGTGTGAGGGAGGCAGTGATGTCTCCTTGGAGAGCCCACCCACCCCTCTCCCTGCTACTCCTGCCCCACACTCTCCTCTCCCTCCAGCGATGCCACCGCGACAGCTCCCCACAGTCACCCTCCTGTCCCACTGGGCTCCGGGGAGTGCAGCCAGCAGCCTCCTGCGCCCTGAGCCTTTGCCGTGTCAGAGTCTGAGCGGCAGGTGTTGCTTTATCTACTCCTGACAGGAGCCTTGTGAAACAGGCACTGCTGTCCCGGTTAGTACATGTCCCGGTTGGTACAAGGCTCAGAGAGGTGAAGTGACTTGTTCCAGGTCGTACAACTGCTGGATGACCTGTCTAAGTAACTGTGTGACCTTGTGTGTGAACCCAGGCAGACAGGCCCCAGAATCTAGGCCCTTACCCCCTCCCAGTACAGCCCAGTCAGAGAAAAACCCCCATCAGTGAAGGTCCCTGAGCCGGGGCCTGCGGAGCTGGCTGTGTTTGGGCATCGCATCCAGTGTGACGGCTAGGAGAAGGGATCCACACAGGCACAGGGACGCTTGAATGTGTGGTAGCAGAACAAAGGAAGTACAGATCTGATGGGCTCCATTTTCTTGTTCAAATATTTGTTCCTTGTATGTTTCCTCCTCTTGATACTCGTACTCAAAATAACCAAAAGGAAAAAAATCAACTGGCAGTCTCGTCCGCGATATGGCAACCATACTTGTTTTGATTTCATGTTTCCATCCTCACACATATGCACACACGTGTTTTCATATTTATAACATCATAGAAGGGAGCTCTGGTGGAGAAACAGTTAAGAGCTTGGCTGCTAACCGGAAGGCTGGTGGTTCGAGCCCACCCCGCAGCTGTGCAGGAGAAAAGCCCTAGTAGTGTCCTGGGCAGATCACAGGCTGCAGAATGCTGTGGGGCCATTCTGTCCTGTCACACGCGGTCACTACGACGGGGGGTCATCCCGAGGGACCCTAACAACAATAACGTCACTGAGATACCCTCTTAGTATCTCTTTCTTCACTTTGTCTTTTATCCTCAGTGTTCTCCATGTTCCTCACACACATTCTTCCTAATTGTCATGTTTAATGGCTGCTTCCTCATTGGATTTTCTGTGACCTCATTCTCAAATGTGTCCCCTTGTGACTGTCACCACAGCTCTGCCAGGTATCTCCTTAAGGTTCTCAGTAACACCGCAATGACCCTCTCCATGGGCTGTTTTCATTCTCTCAGCTTTATTTGTTGTCTTTTGAATTATTTCTTTGAATACATTCTCATGTTTGCTGCATCAAAGGGTATAAATATGTGTGTCACTCTTACCACTTAGAAATTGATTTCCAGAAAGGCTGTATCATACACTCGTCTCCATGGGTACACGTTGCCCCAGGTTTTTGCTGGCATTGGGAATAATCTTTTTATTTTCAAAATATAGTTTTTTAGAGCAATTAGGTTTATAGAAAAATTGCCCAGAAAGTACAGAGAGTTCCCACGTACCCCTGTGCCCACACTCTCCCTTCTTACTGACAGCTTTGTGTTGTTGATGGTGGTGGGTGACACAGGGTTGGCTCTCGTTCATAATGACCTCGTGTATCGATAACAGATCAGAACATTCCCCGGTCCTGCTCCGTCTTCGGGACCGTTGGTGTGTTCGGTCCGCTTCGTGGCTGCGGTGCAGTCCCTCTCCCTGAGCTTTCCCTCGTTTTTTGTGGGCCGTCTGCGTCATCAACCGTGACATCCCTTTCTAGCTGTTGGTCTCCCCTGGTAACATGCCTGGAGTCAGTGAGCCGCACTCTCGCCGTCTCACTTCTGAAGGACATTCGGGCTGTGTTTCTTCTAAGACTGATGTGTCCGTTCTGGCAGTCCATGGTACAGCCAGTATTCTTCGACAACGCCACACTTCAAACCTATTGATTCTTCTTAGTCTTCCTTCCTCACCCTCCAGCTTTCACACGCATACGAGGTGACTCAAAAGACCGAGGCCTGAGTCAGACGCACCTGAGTCATCAACGTGACATCTTGGCTTTACAAAACTTTAAAGAGGTCTTTTGCAGCCCATTTGCCCAGTGCGGTATGTTGTTTGATCTCTTGACTGCTACTTCCACGGATATTGATTATTGATCCAAGTCGAATGAAAATTAACATCTTCCATGTGTTATATTGATGAGCCAATATTGATACATTACTACTAACTGGAGCCCGTAGTTTTCATTATGGCTTTTGACCAATGTGTAATGTCATGTGTCCACCATCACAGAATCATGGAAAACAGTTTCACGGCCCTAAAATGGCTGTGCTGCCCCTGCTCATCCCTGACCCTCCTGAACCCCTGGGTGGGTTCGAACCAGCAGCTGATCTTTTCATCCCCTCAGGCATTGTCTTCCCTTCCCCTTTCATGTCGGGCTAATCTCATCTCTGTACAAGAGTGCCTTAGTGCCTTCTTAATGGGCATTTGGGATGGCGAAGGAGGCTGGGCAATTTCCCACTCATGAAATTGACCAGTTACATGTCTTTTTGTGTAACATGTCTGACCTCGCTGCTGCTGGAGTTCAGATCACATCCTCACTTGGGATGAGGCCCTGCTCCCCACCAGCCTCCTTTTTAATTTCTTTTTTCTTTGTTCAGAAGTTTTAAGCTTTTCATCATCAAACCTGTCAGTCTCCTGTTGCCATTTCTTACCTTGCTTCAGACCGTAGGAAGGTATCATTCCTTACAGCAGTCAGTTTTGTATTTCATGCTGTTTTTCTGCTGCATTTTCTGATTTTACTCCATAGGGAGTTCATTTTGCCGTAGGTTTGAGCTGTTTTCCCTGACTGCTATGGAGTTTATCAAGCAATCCTTGCCTTGGCCGTTGTTCCAAAGGATTGTCTTGGGGTCTCAGAGGTAGACCTCTAGGCCCCAGGCACATACGTTCTGGGGAGTGGCAGAACCTTGGCGTGATTGTTCGTCTTAGCTGGGGTTCTCTGGAGAAACGGAAGCAGTGAGGTACACTGATAGGAGATAGAGACACACTGCAAGGAATTGGTTCATGTGCTGGCAGGGGCTGGCAAGTCTGAGATCTGTAGGTCAGGTGAGGGGAGCGTACAGAGTGGAGAATTCTGGGAGTTCTACCAGAACGCAGTCGACCCTCTGTATCCATGGGCTCTGCATCCACAGATTCAACCGTGGATTGAAAATACTCGAAGGAAAAAAAAGCCATTAAGTGATCAAAGCAGCCCCTCAGAGGCCAAGAGGGAGCATAAAGTGCTACTTGCATAGCATTTATGTTGCATTAAGTGTTGTAAGTAATCTAATGATTTAAAGTGTACAGGAGGGTGCACCATTTTCTATAAAGGACTTGAGCATCTGAGGAGATTGGTATCCACTGGGGGTCCTAGAACCAGTCTCCTGTAGGGTGTGTATAGGTTATATGCAAGTATTCTGCCATTTTATGTTAGGGACTGGAGGAGCACAGATCTTGGTATTGGCAGGGGTCCTAGAACCAGTCTCCTGGGACACTGAGGGACAACTGTGTCTATTTATGGTCTGGCTGCAAAACCCTTTTCATCTGATTGATTGATGACATCACACTGGATTACGTTGGAAGCCAGCCCGCTCTACCCAAGGCCAACTGATTTAATCAGGTGTAACTGCTCTAATAGCTTGGACAATGCCCTCACCCATTCCAGTGACGACGGGAATGGTATTGCACTGGGCGACATTTCTGTCTCTTACACAGCAGCTGCCGTGGGTTGGAGTCCACTCAGTGGCAACTCACTACAGCTACTACTCTGACAGCCACTAGACAAGTATTTGGCCAAACCACTGGGCACCATAGCTAGCCAAGTTGACACATGAAGTTCACCATCATGCTGTTGTCCCCTTTCCCCACCAGGTGAGGGCTGCATCGCCCTACGGTTAGAGGCCACGGAAACCCAGTTCCCCATCCACACGCCTCTCACCCACCATGGAGAGATGACAGGACACTTCCGTGGGGAGATTAAGCTGCAGACGTCCCAAGGCAAGAAGAGAGAGAAGCTCTATGGTAAGAAGATCCCTCCTCGGGTCCCTCTCCATCCCAGTAGAATGGGGAGATGGTTCTCATAGAGAAACTGTTAACTATTCTCTCTGCTGGGGCCTGAGGATAGAATTCCAGCATTGGAAAGAATCTGAGAGGCAATTGGGCCCAACTCTCCCTAATTCAGAAATCCCCAGCGAAACTCTACCCAGCAGCAGAAGCTCACCCTTCGCCAACCGCACTCAACTTGATCTTTAAGGACGTGAAGTTTGTGAATTTTCCAGCTCCCTGTCTCTCACCTTTTTCCAGTCTTGTGGGCCTTGTCACTTCTGTTAGAGACCAAGATTACAGAATAACTCAATAATGAATAGCTCTTTATAGGCTACTTGGGGGAAGAGATGAAAGCTACTGGCTGCAGTTGGAATTTAGGATTTCCTATGGGACCCCTGTCCTTCCCATGGTCATGTGGTATGCCAAAGCAACAAAACCAAACCCACTGCCATTGAGTCGGTTCTACCTCATAGCAACCCTAAAGGATGGTAGAACTGCCCCCATAGAGTTTTCCAAGGCTGTAAATCATTACAGAGGCAGACTGCCACATCTTTCTCCAGCAGGGCAGCTGGGGGGTTTGAACCACTGACCTTTTGGTTTGCAGGTGCGTGCTCTAACCACTGTGCCACCAGGGCTCCTTATATGCTATGCACTCATAGATGGATCCATGCCCTCATGCGTACCTGCATCTGTGCCTCATGGCCCCACCCAGGGTTCTGTACTTTCTCTGTTGCTTCCGTCCACCTCACAGAGTAGAAGCCCTAGCCCACACCCCTGAGTCCCTCTCCTTGGCTTGTGCCTACTCTAGCCACACACCCCTCCAAAATGGCGGTACCTTATGGTCTGTTCTTTCCTGGCAGGGTTTCCTAACCCACTATTTCAACTTGAACTCCATTCTTTGTTCTGCTAAATGCCACTTGCTTACTTTGGTTGGCAGTTGGGAGATCCATGTAACGTGGCTCTCAGAGAGGACATCTCTGAAGCCTAGCTTGGGGACAACAAACTCATTGTGGGCATTTTCTTGCCCCAAGTGAGAGGCCAGCCTCAGGGGGTCATCCCCTGTCTGTCCCCAAAGGAGACCTTGTTGATTCTCGTTTGAATAGTTCAGGTGCCTTATCTCTTAGATCTGAATTGTCTCTGCTCAGTTATGAGAATATTGAAATGTGATCAAGAGACCTTAATGTCAGTGCAAACACAGAGAAATGTCTAGATTTGAGTTTAGAATGTTAATCCTACATAAAATTTTGAAACTTGGAAATTATATTTATAAATTGCATTTATCCATTATGCTAAAACCGCTCTGCTTGAAATAACCCTCTCCTCACTCATCAACAGGGTTAGGTTCCGAAGACCAGGTCATTTTGCAAAAATTGCCTTCATGTGAGGATGGAGAATCACAAAGTGGAGGGTGACTACACCATGATATAACTGCCAAATTCCATCATTACATAACTGCCAAGCCACTCTGAATCATGGTCTAGCCTAGTTGGCACATAACTTTAACCATCACAGCCAGCATTACTCTTGCCTCACACCTTGACATTCATTACTGCCAGACATATGTCATTAATGCATAAAATAGTCAGATAGTATATCTTTTACTATTGTCATAAATGCAAACTGTCAGATGCCCAGATGGTAAGTGAGGAAAAGGTGTAATAAAAGATTGGAGTGCTCCGGAGCTGCTCAAAGAGTTGTAAATCGAGAGGTTTTTTTTCCTTTTCCTCTCTGCTTTAATTCCTGCTCGGGAATGTTTGACTAGCAGCAGCGCCTAGCAAGTGAACAGGGCGTCAACAACGCAACTGACGATGCTGTGTAAATATATCATCTTACAGATGACGTTCACTAATCTCTCACAACAGCCTTGTAAGCCAGTGTTGTCATCCTTGTTTTGAAGATGGGGAAACTGAGGCACAGAGCAGCTAAGAGAATGTCTGAAGGTCACATAGCCAGCAAGCAACTGGGCCAAGATTCATCTGGTTGATGAACAGTGCAGTTTCATCCAGTGTCAAGCTGGAGTTCCTAAACATTCCTGGCTCTAATGTGAATAGTGAGGCATGTGGACATGTTGCACCCTGACACCAGCCACAGCTCAGCTCACTAAGGGGTGCTGCCTCCAGGGAATGGGACCCCCTTCTACCCTAGCAGGACAGTGGGTAGGGAGATGGGATCCAGCACTTCTACAGCCACAGATCAGAGTTGGAAATGGAGGTGGGGATAACATCTCCCCGTTAAGCCCCACAAATAGATTGGCTTTGAGTTCCCAGTGATCTTGTGGGGACACCTTTTATGTTTGTTTTCATCTGATCTGGCAAGAAATAGTTTCCTGTTTTGTTCCTTGCTGAGACCACCAAGTTGGAAGCATCCCATGGAATGACAGCATGAGGTCACATGTGCCAACTGTCTCCCTCTGACCCAGTGGCAGACATTATTAATCAATCACAGAACTCTTGAGAGCCCAGATGAGGTCTCTGAGTCTTGCTTAGCTGCTCCCCTCAGGCAGCCACTATTCACTGGCCCGCTTCAGTGTACAACTGGGAACCTTTTTGCCATTCCTGGTCTAAGACCTGGGGGCTGGGCCCTCAAATCCTCTTTTCTGATCTTTTCCTTCCAGACTTTGTGAAGACAGAGAGGGATGAGCCCTGTGGACCCAAGTCTCTGAAGAGCTTCACCAGCTACGACCCCACAAAGCTGCTGGAACCCACCAACAGGTAGAGCAGTGGGGTTTGCCAGGGGCCAATAAAAGCTAGTGTAGCTTTGCAGACACAGGGCCCAGGAGGAGATAATTGGAGCCTAGAGACACCAGGACAGGGAGGAAGAAGGAGCCTCTGACCCGCCCCCCCAGAAGAGGCTGTAAGCTGTAAGCTCCATGTGTCTCTGAGAACAAGCCCTCATCTCTAGGGGTTGGCGGTGTGACCATGATGAGGACTGGGAGACTTTTCTGAGGTGAAACATTCAGTTCAGTTCAGCTAACATTTGTTGAGCACTTGCTGTGTGTCGGGTTCTCAAGAAACCAAAGCCAATGAGATACCTTAGACCCTGAGTGCCAGTAGCAAGATGTGTAGTTCAGGAAGAGGCAACCGCAGATAGCTGTGCGATTCCTAGTCACCAAGTGGCTGCTGGGTCTCCATGGGCTTGGTAGCCAACAAGCCCCATTGTGTTACTAACGGGAGAGAATCCATTCCAGTTGCCCTTGCAGAGACTGAACTGGGAATAACCAGGACACTGAAGCCCATGTTCCTAGGGGACCAGGCAGCCCGCTGCGGTCACGTTGGCTCACGGCGACCCCCATGTGCCAGGATGGAACTGTGCTCCAGCCAGCATTCAGTGGCTGATTTTTAGACGTAGAGCACCGGGACTTTTTTCTCAGGCCCTGCTGGGTGGACTTGAACCTGCAACCGTTTGGTCAGCAACCGAGTGCGTTAACTGGTCAGCAGTCGAGTGCGTTAACCGCTTGGTCGGCAGCCAGGTGCATTAACCGTTTGCACCATTCAGAAACTCCTATTACAGGACAGCAGTCCCCCAAGACAGGGTCTCCTCAACCCAGTGATGTCTCAAGTTCCAGAATCAAGCCAGGGAGGTCATCAGGTCAGCATACCTGCCGATAGGGCGAGGCCACACCTGAGCTCGCTGGGGGAGCTGGTGTTCCAGGAACTGGCTGCAGCGCACAGCTGGCTCCTCTCCCTTCCTGTCCCCTCACTATTCCCTCCAGCCCTTTGTACCCAGGAAGTCCCCTAGCCCACTCCCTAGCCTCCCCCAACTCCTCTAATGATCCCCACCTCCCTGGAGCATCCTCTTCATCCCACACCTCCCATAATTGCCCTGTCTGCAGATGCATCTGCCTGGCCCCAGGGTCAGGACGGGGGTCGGGAAACAAGGTCTGTTCCATTTGGCTCCTCATGGGAACTCCGTTTCTTCCTGAAGCATGCCTTTCTGGGGGTCAGGGAGATGGCTCAGCTGTGGAGCAGATGGGAGCCAGACACCATTCACAATGCCACTATCATCACCAGCTCTGTCCTTTAGTTCTAACGAGATCGGTGTCAGACCAAGGAGGGTGGTGCCAGCGGCTGCCCCGTGTGTTTGAGTGTTCAGTGTGTTTGAGTGTTCAGTGTGTGACGTTAAGGTCACCACTCCGAGGCCTGGGCTGTGCCCATAACAGCTGACTCTGCACAGGCGAGGCCCCAGCCCTGTCCTCTGTGACCCCCAGCTGCCTGGCCAACTCCATCCTGATGCCACAGACCAAGCACGCATGCTGATTGGTTCCTCATGAGACTGTCCGCTCTTGCCCACCAGCCCTGCCCCAGATTCCTCCCTAACCCCCAGTCCCACCTGGCCCAGCCACAGTTACCCAGCCCTGCTGACCTTGCCAGCCTCACCCCTCTTCCCCACCGGCTCAGGGGCCTTCACATTTCCTGGAACAACCAAGCCTCTTCTCAGCGCAGGGCCTTTGCTCTCGCTCTAACCACTGTTGAGAACATCCCCCCCTCCCTTCCTGGTTTTCACGTAGGACTTGTCACAACCCTCCTGTTAGTCTTGCTGTCTCCCTGTCTCTGTGCTGGTTGGTTTTGTGTGTCTCGTTGGCGTGTGAGCTCCGTGAGAACAGAGACTGTGGCTTCTGTGTTAGCCACCTGCAAAAAGGGTGTGGGAGTGGCATTGCCTGACCTCTTCCAACTTCACAAGGTGGGAGGAGGATCAAGATCAACAGTCAAGGCTGAACCCTGTGAGGCAGAGGTCACACTTTCTGCCACCCTCCAGCCTTTTACCAACCCTGACACGAACTGTCCCTCCCGCAGCTCTCTACTTCTCTGCCTGCTTCGATAATGTGTGGCACTGGCCACACAGAACTCACTGACGGTACTCATGATTTGGGGTTTATTAGGGAAGGAACAGGTTCCAGTTCAGGGCCAGAAGCAACACAGGGTTCGGTTCCTCAGTCCAGACAATAGCTTCTCAGCCATGCCCAGGCATGCTTCCCTCTGGCCTTGGCCTCGGCCCTACTCAGGCAAGTATTACAAAGCTCTTCTAGCTCTGTTGATAGGCACCCAGAGAGGTACCCTTTCTGCCAGCAAGCCTCTCTTTGGAGGCACTCGGCTTTCTCTCTCTGTGGGCCAAGAAGCCCACCACTCTGTCTCATGCTGGTCCCTTGGTTCTGCTGCCTCTGTCTTTCTGTCTCTCTGCCACCTCAGCAAAGTGTTAGAGCTCGCTCTCAGATTGCGGGGTTGAAGACATCCAGCGCAGGGATCTCGGGTCCAAGGACGTACTCCACTCCTGGTTTTTCTCTCCTGATGGTAATAAGATCCCCCTTTCCACCTGGGGGGGCTCATTTTAAGCCTAACAGGATGGCAAAACTGCACCTTATTTGCACGGTCCCATCCTCACCAGGGAGTTTGATTTTTTTTTTTTTTTAAATCCCCACCAGGGAGCCATGTACCTTATTTACATTATTAACAAGCTGTCCAATCCCCTTGGTGGTCCACAAGCACCTCACATTTACATAGTTCCACCCAGTCATCTGGTGGGAGTCACAAAGACCATGGCTGGAAGAGCCATATTGAGTAATTCACTGCACGGTGCCACCACCCTCCCTCCTGGGCCAGGACTTGGTACTTACTCAGTCGTTATTCTGTTGCATGTGGGAATGAATGAATAATCCACTACCCACAAAGAGGTGAAGGGGTTGAGGAGGAGCCGGAAGGGCCCCAAGGAACACCACAGGACACTGCCCTCAGACGTTGCTTGGTTCCCTGACCCTGAGAAGGGAAGCAGTTCCTGTGTGTGACTGTGTGTCTCCCCCACAGGGTCCCTCCATGCACTGGCCCCAGCATCACCGAGATTATGAACCCCAACTACATGGGCGTGGGGTTGTTTGGGCTGCCGATGCCCCTGCATGGGAAGCAGGCCCACTCCCCTGACCAACAGTCCACAGCTTGGAGCTACGATCCAGTGCCCAAGGATACCTCGCTCGGGCCCGGAAGAGGGGAAAGCCCTCCAACACCACCCTCCCAGCCACCCGTATCACCCAAGAAGTTTTCACCGTTGTCAGCAAGCCGAGGGCCCTGCCTCAGGACACAAGAGTCAAGGTGAGTCCTGTCTACCAGTGCGTCCCTCTTCTCTGCACACAGTGTGCACTGGGCCGAACCGCCTGGGAAGGTTATGAAGCTGCATCAGGGCCGAGGGGTGTCTGCTCTGCTCACTGGTCGTCCTTAGAGCCTGGAGCTTGGCGTTGCTGTCAGCTGCCATCAGGTTGGCTCTGACTGGCAGTGACCCCGTGCGCCGTGGAACGCAGTCCTGTCTGGTCCTGCAGCGGCCCCGCGATTGATTGCGGACCGAGCCATTGTGATCTGCAGGGTTCCCGCTGGCCGATTTTCAGAACGAGATCACCAGGCCTTTCTCCTTGGTCTGCAAGCTCTGCTGAAACCTGCTCAGCACCGTGGCAACAAGCAAGGCTCCAAGGACAGATGGGCGGTGCTTGTGTACGAGGTGCCTTGGCGGAAAATTGAGTTGGCGATCCCCTGTGGAAGGCAAGCATGCCACCACTGAGCCTCCGCTACCTCCATTAGTGGAGCCTGGCAGTCACTGGGTACATGTTTCCTGACTCTTCAGTTCCTAACCTGTTGCTGCAAACATTAAAGGTTTTTTTTAAAAAAAAAAATCAGAAAATGTTAAAGATATGGCCAAGTAGAAGATGCCGTGGTTATGAACTTGGCTGCTCACCGAAAGGTCAGTGGTTCAAACCCGCCAGCCACTCCATGAGACAAAGATTAGACAGCCTGCTTCCCTGAAGGTTATAGGCTAAGGAACACGATGGGGCAGTTCTGTCCTGTCCTGTTGAGTCACTGTAAGTCAGAATTGACTCAGTGGCAGTTGGTTTAGTTTGAGTTTCATGGCCAAGAAAAACATTTTCCTGTTTTTCACACTTGCCCGAGAATCCAATGCCCCCTCAGGCCATCTCCCATTGCCTGCAGGGTGCCATGGCACAGAGGTGAAAGTTACCATGGAGAAGTCCCTACTCGAGTTCCCCTCTCTTTGCACGATTCCTGTTCCTATGTGCCACTTCCTAGTCCCTGTTGTGGAAGACAGTTAGAAAAAGAAGGAACTGGAACTGGGTAGGTAGACGGGAGGTAGAGCTTCTAGCCCAGTGGGAGGAGAGAGGTCTGATCATGAGCGTTGGGAAAAACCAGCAAAACTTAGAGACAGCTGAGGGCAGGAGAGGACACCAGGGCGGGCAGCTGGGCGGGGAGCTGATGCTTAGAGTCATAAACCCTAAGTCATGGCGGCTGCCCATGCTGCAGCTGGAATGATGAGACTCTAGGGGTCATCCTGAGGAGAGCCCGTCCTGATGGCCACATCAGGTAAAGGGGAAACAAAGGCCCGACCCCAGTGAGCAGAGCTTTCAGATGTGCACAGCGGGCTGCCGTTGTCTTCCCTTGGGGGCCCATCTTTGTAGTTTCCTTATTTATTTATTTTGTGATTTGGGTGAAGATTTACAGAGCAGGTTAACTTTCCATACAGCAGTTCACATACGCTTTGTCTCATGACGTTGACCACAGTTTACCACAATGCAACAGCTCCCCTCCCACTTCCTCTCCATAGTTACCTCTTCCCAGTGTCCATCCCTCCATGCACTCCTGCCCCCTGAGCTGTCTCCCCTGTACATAAGCTGCAGTTTCCTTTTGGTGAAGATACATGATGTGACTTCTGAAGTTCACTCTCCACCTCCGGTTCCCCAACACAGGTTTTTTCCTCTTCTCCATGAGGTCTGTTTCCTCGCTGGGTTTGTCGGTCACACAAGTGTTAAGAGCCCGGGAGGAAGCATTGTCAGTAACATCATTTTCCTTCAACTCCCTCCAGTCCCAGCCTTTCCTGTGTGGCCCGCCTGGAGCTCTTCCAGGGTGAGGGGCAACGTACAGTTCTGCTCCTTAAGATTTTTCTCCAAAAGATGGAAAGATGAAACTGCTGTTTGGAAAATGAATTTGCTCTGTAAAGTTTCACCAAAAGCACAATAAAAAATAAAAAACAAAGAAGAAGAAGGATGACAGGGAGGGAAGAAGGAGAGAATGGAGGAGAGAAGAGAGGGAGGAAAAGAGGGAGGCAGGGAATGAAGACATAGGATAAGTAGGATTGGCCCGAGCTCAGCTGGGTCTCTCTCTGCACCTCTAGTTTTCAAGATTTTAATCTTTGATCATTCTCTGAGAAATTTGGAGGAAGGCAAAACAGCTTCCAGCATTGCCTCAGACTCCAGGAGAGTAGATGATCCCAGTCTGCCCAAGACTGTTCCTGGTTTAGCAGTGGAAGTCCTAAAAACCATCACTCCCATCAACTCAATGCCAACTCATAGCAACCTTATGTGCAATACAATGAAACACTGCCCAGTCCTGCACCATACTCTCAATCTGTGTTGGAGCCCATTGTTGCAGCCACTACGTCAATCCATTTTGTTGAAGGCCTCCTTTATTTTCATTGATCATCTGCTTTCCCAAGCATGACGTCCTTCCTCAGGGACTGGCCCCTCCTGATAACATGTCCAAAGCATGTGAGACAGTCTCTCCCTCCTCTCATCTAAGGAGCATTCTGGCTGCACTTCTTCCAAGACAGAGGTTTGTTCTTCTGGCAGTCTAGGGTGTATTCAATATTCTTCACCAAAACCATAATTCAAAGACATCATTCTTCTTTGGTCTTTCTTATTGATTGTCCAGCTTTCACATACATACGAGGAAACACTGTCTGATACATTACTGAGCAACTTTATGAATAGTCCAGAAACATTGTCCAACACAGAGGAGGAGGATGAGTCATTTAGGTTAGAAGGCTCTCAGAATATAACTGGAAAAGAGCTGCATCATCAGAGTAAAACCAGCCTTACTGATATGGATAAGGTAAAGCTTTCAAGACCTCCATTTGCTGACGTGGCACGACTCGAATTGAAGAGAAACAGCTGCAAACATCCATTAATCATCGGAACATGGAATGTACCAAGTATGAATCTAGGGAACTTGGAAGCTGTAAAAAATGAAATAGAATGCATAAAGATTGATATCCTAGGCATTAGTGAGCTGAAATTACTGGTTTTGGTCATTTTGAATCAGACAACCATATGATCTACTATGCCAGGAATGACAAATTGAAGGGAAATGGTGGGGCATTCATCATCACAAAGGATGTTTCAAGATCTGTCCTGAAGTACAATGCTATCAGTGATAGGATGATATCCATATACCTATAAGGAAGATCACTTAATAGCACTATTATTCAAATTTATGCACCAACTACCAAATACAAAGATGATGAAATTGAAGATTTTTATCAACTTCTGCAGCCTGAAATTGACTGAACATGCAATCAGGATGTGTTAATTATTACTGATGACTGGAATGCAAAAGTTAGAAACAAAGAAGAATCACTGGTAATTGGAAAATTTGGCCTTGATGACAGAAATAATGCTGGAAATTGCATGGTAGAATTTTGCAAGACCAACCACTTATTCATTGCAAATACCTTTCTTCAACAACACAAACAGCGGCTGTACACGTGGACTTCACCAGATGGAACACATGGGAATCATATTGACTACATCTGTGGCAAGAGGTGATGGAAAAAGCTCAATATCTTCAGCCAGAACCAGGCCAGGAGGTGATTGTGGAACAAACCATCAACTGCTCATATGCAAGTTCAACTTGAAGTTAAAGACAATTAAAACAAGTCCACAAGAGCCAAAATATGATCTTGAATATATCCCTCCTGAAT